GTTGTGCACAAGACTTGAACTAGAAACTAAACCGCGTTTTATTTTTAGCGGGCAAGGGCCTCATTGAGATGCTGTGTGTGTAAGCTCTCTTTTAGAAGGCCCTGACCTGGCCATTACCGATGACAGTTCTACCAATGAGGTTCATCATCATCATCACGTGAACCTTTATAGCAGTTGGCAAAGACTCTAGCAACTCACGGCTCTCAAATGTGGAGGGGAAAACCAGAGGGCCCGGAAAGAAAATCCACTCGACAACAGAAAGACAGAGAGACACAAACTCTATGCAGCAGCTGCAGCATCAACTGCCGGTCTCTGTGCGTGTCTGTGTCTCTGCGTGTGTCTGCGTGTGTCTGTGTCTGTAACGGTGTGTCTGTGTCTATGTCTCTGCGTGTCTTTGTGTCTCTGCGTGCATGTCTCTGTGTGTCTCTACGTGTCTCTGCGTGTGTGTCCATGTCTCTATGTGTGTGTGTCTCTGCATGTCTACGTGTGTGTCCATGTCGTCTCTGTGTGTGTCTGTGTCTCTGTGTGTGTGTCTGTGTGTGTGTCTATATCTGTGTGTGTGTGTCTCTGCATGTGTGTCTCTGTGTCTGTGTGTCTCTGCGTGTGTGTCTGTGTGTGTCTCTCTGTGTGTGTCTATGTCTCTGTGTGTGTGTCTCTGCGTGTCTGTGTGTGTCTCTGTGTGTGTGTGTGTCTCTGCGTGTGTCTCTGTGTGTGTGTCTATGTGTGTGTCTGTGTCTCTGTGTGTGTCCATGTCTCTGTGTGTGTGTCTCTGTGTGTGTGTCTATGTCTCTGTGTGTGTGTCTCTGTGTCTCTGTGTGTGTGTCACTGTGTGTCTCTGTGTGTGTGTCACTGTGTGTGTGTGTGTCTGTGTCACTGCGTGTGTGTGTCTGTGTCTCTGCATGTGTGTGTCTGTGTGTCTCTGTGTGTGTGTGTCTCTGTGTGTGTGTCTATGTCTCTGTGTGTGTCTGTGTGTCTCTGTGTGTGTGTCTGTGTCTCTGCATGTGTGTCTATGTCTCTGTGTGTGTGTCTGTGTCTCTGTGTGTGTGTGTGTCTGTGTGTGTGTCTCTGTGTGTGTGTCTGTGTCTCTGCATGTGTGTCTCTGTGTGTGTCTGTGCGTCTCTGCGTGTGTGTCTCTGTGTGTGTGTCTCTGTGCGTCTCTGCGTGTGTCTGTGTGTGTCTCTGTGTGTGTCTATGTGTGTCTCTGTGTGTGTCTGTGTCTCTGCATGTGTCTCTGTGTGTCTGTATGTGTCTGTGTCTCTGCATGTGTCTCTGTGTGTCTGTGTGTCTCTGCGTGTGTGTCTGTGTGTGTCTCTCTGTGTGTGTCTATGTCTCTGTGTGTGTGTCTCTGTGTGTCTGTGTGTGTCTGTATGTGTCTCTCTGTGTGTGTCTATGTCTCTGTGTGTGTGTCTCTGCGTGTCTGTGTGTGTCTCTGTGTGTGTGTCTCTGTGTGTGTCTGTCTCTGTGTGTGTCTATGTCTCTGTGTGTGTGTCTCTGTGTGTCTCTGTGTGTGTCTGTGTGTGTGTCTCTGTGTGTGTGTCTCTGTGTGTATCAATGTCTCTGTGTGTCTCTGTGTGTCTCTGTGACAGTCGAGTACGGAGACTCGTGATGTGCACCGACTCTGTTCATGTGCGACACAACTTCACGCCACGTGGTCCCACTGGGAAAGAGGGCGGCACAAGTAAACACTAACACGAACCGGTAAACCATTGGCAATTGATCAAAGCTATAAAGGCGATGATCCAGGAAAATTATATTATGATGCTGCATGAAAAGGTAATAGGTTACTCTGAAGTTCCTGGCCATTGGAACGTTGGTAATGATCAGGAACATGCCCTGACAAAACAGGGAAGTCTGAAATATGCTGGGTGTAAATCAGCACATCAAATTAAATCCGCAGAGGAGGGAAAGAAAGGTCCCAAGCATGCGACACTCGGCCGAGAGAGTGGGGAGAGAGAGAGGAAGAGACTTTTCACGACTTTATTTCCACTAAAACATTAACAAAAAACCATTACAGGAAAACACACGTACATTGTGAATCAACAAAACATCAAACTCTTAACAGCTGTGTGTGCACGAACTACACGTGGCACAGGGATAGAGGCTGTGCAAACGAGGCGGTGCACGGACCTCTCCGTGTGTAGCAAAGTCGCTACGCTGAAGAGTTTTTCAATTTGATAAAGAATCAAATGTTTTGACATCAGAATGCGACGTGAACAAAATACTTTTTTCTCCCCGACATTTCAAACAAAATGGCGTTGACGCGTAAAACACCTGAAATCATTTTGTCTTTACGGATTCAGTTGTCGGTCGTCATTAGAGTGTAATGACAGGGTGACACCTGGTGTGACGAGGACGTGTGCGGGGCCACGGGGTGACGAGTCAAATGAGGCACAACGTGAAGTCAGGGCTGGTCCCCCCCCAACGAGGGAAACAGGAAAGGGGCGGACGGCTGAGTGGAGAGCGAGCGGCAGAGGTCGCAACCGGGTACCCGGTACCCGTACCCTACCCGATACCCGTACCCTACCCGATACCCGGCTACCCGTACCCTACCCGATACCCGTACCCTACCCGATACCCGTACCCTACCCGATACCCGGCTACCCGTACCCTACCCGATACCCGTACCCTACCCGATACCCGGCTACCCGTACCCTACCCGATACCCGGTTACCCGTACCCGATACCCGTACCCTACCCAATACCCGGCTACCCGTACCCGGCCGGGTACGGGTAAGCCGTGAGTCACTGGTGAGTCACCGTGTGTCACTCATTTGCCAACGTCTTGTCTCTTCTCACAATTCAAGTTCCTAGAATCAACCCACCCGCGCCTGCAACGTGGCTTCATCCCAGAGGTCGCAATCGGGTACCCGATACCTGTACCCTACCCGTACCCGGCCGGATACGGGTAGCCGGGTATCGGGTAGGGAACGTGTACGGGTACCCGATTGCGAGCTCTGGCATGCGGCAACGTGACCATGTCGAGTGAGCGGCCGGGCAACTTGCAGTTTGACGGTGAACACGGCAGAACGGATGTGAGCTTCAAGCGGTAGGACACCGTCCGCGGTCTGATGAACGCCGCCACGACGGCCACGCGGCACTACGGGTGCGTGCCGCTTGTCCGGCAGGCGCGCGGCGACCGGCTGCCGGGGCGCGGGGAAGTCGCCGGGATACGCCGGGAGGTCCCGGACGGGGCGGCCGGGAGGCGCCGTCGCGACGGGGGCCGGGCCCGCCCTCGGGTTCGCGTCGCTGAGGATTTCGTGGAGGAGCTCGCTGGCAACTTCGCGCGCTCCCTCCACGCTGGAGCTCAGCACCGCGGGGAAGAAGCCGCTGCCTTCCCGCATCATCCCGGGAACGGAGACCTTGTACAGGAGGCCCATGGGCCTGCCGGGCTCCGAGTGAGCGTGCAGTTCGAAGGTCGCGTGGCCCACGCCGGCGCTCCGTAGCAGCGCCTGCAAACGCGTCTCCCACGACAAGACGGCCGCCTCCGGCAGCTCGTCCAGACCGACGGGCGTGGGCCGCGAGTGGCGGGGTGCCCGCCAGAGCTGCGTGCGCGCCGCCCAGCCCACAAACAGGCTGTGCGGGACCTTGCCGCAGACGGCGCACTCCGGCTGCGGGAGGCCTGGGACCCGCCGCCACCTCCTCCTCGTCTTCAATTGCCTCCTCCTCCACCTCCTCCACCACCACCTCCTCCTCCTCTACCACCTCATCCTCCTCCTCCTCCACCACCTCTTCCTCCTCATCTTCAGTTGCCCCCCGCCTCCTCCTCCCCCTCCTCCTCGTCTTCCGTTGCCTCCTCCTCCCCCTCCTCCTCCTCCCCCTCCTCCCCCACCTCCTCCTCCTCCTCCACCACCTCATCCTCCTCCTCCTCCACCACCTCTTCCTCCTCATCTTCAGTTGCCCCCGCCTCCTCCTCCCCCTCCTCCACGTCTTCCGTTGCCTCCTCCTCCCCTCCTCCTCCCCCGCCTCCTCCCCCACCTCCTCCTCCTCCACCACCTCTTCCACCTCCTCCTCCACCACCTCTTCCTCCTCATCTTCAGTTGCCCCCGCCTCCTCCTCCTCCTCGTCTTCCGTTGCCTCCTCCTCCTCCACATCCTCCTCCTCCACCTCCTCCTCCCCCCCTCCTCCTCGTCTTCCGTTGCCTCCTCCTCCCGCTCCACCACCTCTTCCACCTCCTCCTCCTCCACCACCTCTTCCTCCTCGTCTTCAGTTGCCGCCTCCTCCTCCCCCCCCTCCTCGTCGTCTTCCGTTGCCACCGCCGCGGCAGCAGCAGCAGCCGCCGCCCCCGGCTCTCGCTGCGGGATGGCCCAGTCCACGTTGATGTCCCGGCCCCACAGCCGGAAGGAGTACGGCAGCAGCACCCTGCGGGCCATGCAGGCCGCGCGGTGGCTCTCGTATTCGACGAACGCGTAGCCTCGGCTGAGGCTCCTGTCGTAGCGACAGAAGCGCATCTGGACGTCCACGACGCCCTCCGTGGCGTCGCTCATCGCCGCCATCACCTCGGCCCGCGTCTTGTCCTTCGGCAGCCTCGCCAAGAAGAGGCGGCGATTGTCGACGCTCACGCAAACCGCGATCCGTCGCCCCGGGCGGATCTCCAAGTCGTGGGGTCTCTTGACGGCGTCCGCGGCTTGCGAGCGCGTCGCGAAGGTGGCGAACGCGTAGCCGCGGTTCTCTCCGTCGTACGTCATCATGAGGCGCAGCTGGTACAGCTGCCCCACCGCCTCCAGCACGGGAAGCAGCTCGTCCTCGTACAGGTCGCGCGGGATCCTCGCCACGAACACCTCGCAGCCGCGGGCGGGAGGGGGGCCCTGCCAGTCGGGCGGCGGTCCCAGCTTCCTCTGTCCGTTCTCCTGGACGACGTTGTAGCCCGTGCGCAACATGAGGTCCAGAAGGTCCCTCTCCACGCAGCTCATGATGTCGAGCATCGGCGCTTTGTCCACGGCGGCGGTGACGACGGGGCAGCGGTTTTGGGGCCCGTTGGAGCCCTTGACACTCACCGGCGCAGAAGCCTCGTGCCGACAAAGCCACGGCGGGGGGCGGAATCAACTCGTGAAAAGGCGGGAACTCGCTCGGGCCAAGCCTACAGGCCCAGCAGTGGAGAGAGGAAGAGAGAGTGGAGAGACGGATGGAGAGAGAGCTACCTTTGTAAACTCGAAAATCACAATAAATAAAAACCCAAGAAACTGTGTCTTGACCTTTGAACCGCCCTGTATAATGACCCCTCACCCCAGTAGACGACCTGGTACCCCTCCTCACTCATCCACTCACTGACCCATCCACGCACCTCACACACCCACTCGCTCACACACTCACCCACCCACTCACCCGCACACCCACTCGCTCACACACTCACCTCACACACTCACCCACCCACTCGCCCGCACACCCACTCGCTCACACACCCACCCACTCACCCGCACACCCACTCGCTCACACACTCACCCACCCACTCACATCACCCGCACACCCACCCACTCACCCGCACACCCACTCGCTCACACACTCACCCACCCACTCACCCGCACACCCACTCGCTCACACACTCACCCACCCACTCACCCGCACACTCACCCGCACACCCACTCGCTCACACACTCACTCTCTCACACACTAACCTCACACACTCACCCACCCACTCACCCGCACACCCACTCGCTCACACACTCACCTCACACACTCACCCACCCACTCACCCGCACACCCACTCGCTCACACACTCACCCACCCACTCACCCGCACACCCACTCGCTCACACAATCACCCACCCACTCACCTCACCCACTCACTGATGATGATGAGAGAGAGAGAGACACGCAGACTCCAAATATACAGCAGTTGGCGTCGCCAGGGCCGGGATCGAACCCACGACCTCCTGCATACCAGGCGAGGTAGTTAACATCTCCTAGCCACCGTGATGATGATGAGAGAGACACACAAACTCCAAATATACAGCAAGAATCTTCAGGATCGAGATCAAACCCATGACCTCCTGTATACCAGGCGAGGGAGTTAACATCTCCTAGCCACCGTGATGATGAGAGAGAGACACACAAACTCCAAATATACAGCAAGAATCTTCAGTATCGGGATCAAACCCACGACCTCCTGCATACCAGGCGAGGTAGTTAACATCTCCTAGCCACCGTGATGATGAGAGAGAGACACAAACTCCAACTCCAAATAAAGTTTGAATGTATGCGTGTCGTTAAACCGGCCATCAGCCGACAGCCGATTCGCAAGGTTTATCACGTGACATACCGTGCCAATCTGTCACTGGAGCAGCACTAACCGGTTGTGTGTTGGAGTGTCTGTGTGTACACTGTGTGTGTCTGTGTGTACACTGTGTGTGTGTACACTGTGTGTGTCTGTTTGTACACTGTGTGTGTCTGTGTGTGTGTGTCTGTGTGTGTGTACACTGTGTGTCTGTGTGTACACTGTGTATGTGTGTCTGTGTGTGCACTGTGTTTGTGTGTGTACACTCTGTGTGTGTCTGTGTGTGTGTACACTGTGTGTCTGTGTGTGTACACACTGTGTGTGTCTGTGTGTGTGTCTGTGTGTGTGTGTATACAGTGTGTGTGTGTACTGTGTGTGTACACTGTGTGTACACTGTGTGTGTGTGTACACTGTGTGTGTACACTGTGTGTGTGTGTGTGTCCACTGTGTGTCTGTGTGTACACTGTGTATTTGTGTGTACACTGTGTATGTGTGTCTGTACACTGTGTGTCTGTGTGTACACTGTGTATGTGTCTGTGTGTGCACTGTGTGTGTGTACACTCTGTGTGTGTACACTGTGTGTGTGTGTACACTGTGTGTGTGTGTGCACTGTGTGTGTGTACACTGTGTGTGTACACACTGTGTGTGTACACACACTGTGTGTGTCTGTGTGTGTGTCCACTGTGTGTGTGTACACTGTGTGTGTGTACACTGTGTGTCTGTGAGTACACTGTGTGTGTGTACACTGTGTGTGTGTGAGTACACTGTGTATGTGTGTCTGTGTGTGCACTGTGTGTGTGTACACTCTGTGTGTGTGTCTGTGTGTGTGTACACTGTGTGTTTGTGTGTAAACTGTGTGTGTACACACTGTGTGTCTGTGTGTGTTTGTCTGTGTGTGTGTACACTGTGTGTGTGTACAATGTGTGTGTGTACACTTTGTGTGTGTGTGCACTGTGTGTGTGTGTGTACACTGTGTGTGTGCACTGTGTGTGTGTGTGTGCACTATGTGTGTGTGTACATTGTGTGCACTGTGTGTGTGCACTGTGTGTGTGTGTGTACACTGTGTGTATGTGTGTTCACCACGCCCGGCGGACCCGTTATTCGATCCCGACTCCTGCCGGGGGAGGCGCTCCGGGCGCGGCGGGTCCGCTAGGAAAACTCGGGATGGCCCGAGGCCGACTAGGCCGCAGTCTTCCCTCCCCTCTGTTCTAGATGGTGACGGTGTTGCTGATGTTGTTGTTGTTGATGCTGATGATGTTGTTGTTGATGCTGCTGATGTTGTTGTTGTTGCTGTTGCTGATGATGATGTTGATATTTCTGCTGATGCTAGGGGTGGTGATGATGTTGCTGATGATGTTGTTGTTGATGCTGATGATGATGCTGATGATATTGTTGTATATGATGGTGTAAATGATGTTTATTGATAATGTTGATGATCGCAAACATTAACATAATTTATTAATTTATTCAGTTAGGGTAGCCTCTCATTGTGGGAGGGGAGGGTCTTGTACCCCAGAAAGTGACGTCATGTCATCTGCTGCCGGGTGACGTCACGAGGTAACAGGCAGCTGGAGGTCCGCGCGTGAACTGAAATCCGAGGTGAGAAATTTTCATTGCGGTTGTTGTGGTTGTTGTGGTTGTTGTTGTTTACCAAGCTAGAGCCTCGCTCTCTCTCTCTCGTAGGGATGTCAATAGAGCAGCAGCAGCTTGTGAATCGATGTCCAAGTTGGAACTTTACAACGCGGGGCCTAGACACGCGGGGCCTTGCCTCCTGCCCTCGCCTGGTCGCGTTTGCTTTAATTCCCTCCCTTAAGTTTAATTTGTCTTCACGCGGCTCGCTACTTTGTCACTTTGGTTTATTGTAGATATTAAGGCAGTTTTTTTTTTTCGTTTTTTACCAGCCCAAGCCCGCCTGAGCTGCTGTACCGCTCTAGTTTACAGAAGCTACCTGCCCACAACAACAACAAGGTATGGGGGGTTTTGTCAACGCGTGTGTCAATGTTTTGACTTAAAACTTTCGTAACTGCAGCAATTCATATTCTTGGTTCTTTCGGTGAAGTCACGGAGATAGAAAATTAATAAAAATAACAGATAATAAAATGAATAAAAGTAAACAAAATTGTAAATAAAACCACGACGTTTCTATCACAACACAAGTGGCATTTATTTGATGTTATCTGTTGTTATTGTCTATCTACGTAACTTTACCGAAAGAACCAAGAATACGTGTGGAAATGTGTATCGGTCAAAGACGCTAATCACGTGCTGATGTTGACTCTAAATGTGGAGGGCAAACCCGGGAGATTCGGAGGAAAATCCACGCGACCACGGAGAGAGAGACACGCAAACTCCAAATATACAGCAGCAGGCGTCAGGGTCGGGATCGAACCCACAACTTCCTGTATACCAGGCGAGGTAGTTAACATCTCACCACGGAGAGAGAGAGACACGCAAACTCCAAATATACAGCAGCAGGCGTCAGGGTCGGGATCGAACCCACGACTTCTTGTATACCAGGTGAGGTAGTTAACATCTCACCACGGAGATACGAGGGCTTCCAGGCATATTGATGACTATTTGCCCTCTCATTGTGTGCAATAACAGCCTGTGTGATGAATTTGGGAAACTTTTTCACTACATCATGAATATATGAATAAGTATAGACGTGTAAGTCACGTGTGACTGTGTATATGCATTACTCTGTGTCTGACGTGTAGGTGGTGTGGATATAATTTTTTTCTGTCTGCAGCTGTCGCTTGGTCTGATGGAGCAAAGGCGCTCAGCACAGCTCGGTACGGCAAGGCAACAATGCGACCAGCGTGGATACAGCACGGAGCGGACTGGAAATTTTACACACCACCAGAGAGCACACACAGGAGAGAAACCCTTCAAGTGCACTGTGTGTGGGATGGCGTTTGCATGGCCATCATTTCTTCAGATCCACCAGAGAACACACACAGGAGAGAAACCCTTCAAGTGCACTGTGTGTGGGATGGCGTTTGCATGGCCATCATTTCTTCAGATCCACCAGAGAACACACACAGGAGAGAAACCCTTCAAGTGCAGTGTGTGTGGGAAGGCGTTTTCACGGTCATCTACTCTTATAAAACACCAGAGAACACACACGGGAGAGAAACCCTTCAAGTGCAGTGTGTGTGGGAAGGCGTTTGCACAATCACCACATCTTCAAGCACACCAGAGAACCCACACGGGAGAGAAACCCTTCAAGTGCAGTGTGTGTGGGAAGGCATTTTCAATGTCATCTTCTCTTATAAAACACCAGAGAACCCACACGGGAGAGAAACCCTTCAAGTGCAGTGTGTGTGGGAAGGCATTTTCACGGTCATTTTCTCTTAAAAAACACCAGAGATCACACACAGGAGAGAAACCCTTCAAGTGCACTGTGTGTGGGAAGGCATTTACACAGTCATCAAATCTTAAAACACACCAGAGAACACACACGGGAGAGAAACCCTTCAAGTGCAGTGTGTGTGGGAAGGCATTTTCACGGTCATCTTCTCTTATAAAACACCAGAGAACACACACGGGAGAGAAACCCTTCAAGTGCAGTGTGTGGGAAGGCGTTTGCACAATCACCACATCTTCAAGCACACCAGAGAACCCACACGGGAGAGAAACCCTTCAAGTGCACTGTGTGTGGGAAGGCATTTTCACGGTCATCTTCTCTTATAAAACACCAGAGAACACACACGGGAGAGAAACCCTTCAGGTGCACTCCGTGCGGGAAGGCGTTTGCACAGTCAGAACATCTTCATGTACACCAGAGAATGCACAAGCATCAGAATATCCACCAGGAGTGGAGTCTGAATCAGCTTGTGAAAGTCAAAGTGCTGCAATGAGCCCATCCCTCATCAAACATGACCGGAAGAAAATCCCAGCTTGGACACTTTTAAAGGTAACGAGGTGAAATATGAAGAGGTGAAGGTGAAATGTGAAGAGGTGATGGTGAAGAGCGAAGAAGTGAAGGTAAAATGTGAAGATGAAGAATCAACTCCAAAATGGGACCTTCACATCGATGGAGGCAACGTGAAGCAGGAGGAGAATTCTGACTGTGAGGCAGAGTAAGGCAACTCCAAGCATCTTCTTGGTTCTTTCGGTAAAGTCACGTAGAAGGGAAGTAATACAATAATACAAATAAAACATGATCACATAATTCTCACGACGTTTCGGCCACAACGCAAGCAGCTGTCCTCAGGTGAAAGAACCAAGAAGATGAATCCCTGCAGTCAGGAAAGCTTTAAATTGAAACTCCCAGCAGTTTGTGGAGGTGTGGCTGGACTTCCTAGACAACACAAAGTCAAATGGAGACCCGGTAGATGAGTAAGCCAGAGACGATGTCGCTGCAATAGATGCTCCTTTGTCACAGGCCTTTAATGACAATAACGTGAAGTTGAACACTCAGTTCCTGGGTTCAACCTGCAGGGTAAGAGTGAGTGGCCAGTTACTGCAGCTACATACTATTAACACTCCTTCCCTTTGTTAATGCTACCCCTATCCCCTTCCTTTGATGCTGCTAATTCTGCATAATGCACGGGCATAAGTGGTACTAATCACATACCTGCATTTCTCATAAATATGCTAAATGCCTCTTGATATGCAAATTCCTTTGTCAAGGCGCCCAGCTTATATGCTCCAAGCGCGTGTGCTGTTTCATTCAGACGCTGTCGCCTCGACAGACCTGGTTTTCACCTGAGGACGGCTGCTTGCGTTGTGGCCGAAACGTCGTGAGAATTGTTTTATTGTGTTTTATTTTTATTATTTTATTACTTCCCTTCTACGTGACGACTTTACCGAAAGAAGCAAGAAGACGAGTGGCCAGTCTTAGTGGACCTGTGGGTTGGGTCGGTCTCTCACCAGGAGCGAGAGCCAATAAGCCCCCAAGCATTCACGATGTTCTCATCATAATTGCTGTTGCATGGCGCTTGTCTGAAACACTCGAAGAGCATCCCCAAGTAGCAGCTGCCCCTGTGTGGCACAAGGTGGTGGCCCTTGACCAGCCTGCATGTGAACACGAGCCTGTCAGTAGTGGCGATGATTGATGTGTAATCTCAGCTGTGTCGTTTGTAGGTGATCTTGACTTGAAGCTTTTGTGACTGCAGGAATCCACACTCTTTAGTTCTTTCGGTGACGTCACGTGGGTCGAAAAATTCTAGATCACGGCGTTTCGATGGCAACACAAGCGATCGTCATCAGGTGTGACAACCACAATCACCACCATCACCACCATCACCACCATCATCACCAACTGAGGTAGACGCCAACTTCAGCAGTTATTGACGTGGTCCCAGCTGATGGCGACTGCTTGCGTTGCGATCGAAACGTCGTGATCTATTATTTGTAGGTAATGTTTAGAATTTGCTACGTTTTGACCCAGACGCCAGCATGCAATGGACTACTCGTTTTGAATGACACAATAGTATGTGTTAAAATAGCTTCTTGTTAATACGATGTTGCCTGATGCAGTATGTTTCGCTGCAGTAATTCAATTTTGCTAATATGCCTGTCAATAATTTAGAATGAATACTTGTCTGATTGTGCATGTACATGTAACATTTTGTCTGTGAGGGTCAAACATGAAGTGTTCAAATCTAGAGTGATTAAGTGTGTGTGTTTAGAAGTAACCTGTACAGATCACTCGGGCGAGATCATTCATCAGTTACAAGGCATACCACTTAAAAGTTACACGTAGAGGAGATACATTCTTGACAACACGAATTATAATTTTGCATTCACGCAAGCACCCGATGCTCCGTTTTGAAGTTTTAAAATGAAACGTCTTCGAATTGTGTTGTGTTTTGAATTGTATTTCTTAATTAAAAGCTTACATCGTTTTACATCTGGAAGACTTCGTTGAAAAGGACATTCCGTGTGAATTCCTCTCGTCATTTCGCCGCGGACTGTCACCTGCTTGGGATCGCGGGATCGAGAGAAGGCGACACGGAGCTGCTGGCCGTGCGACAAGATTGCGGATCGATTTCACGGTCGAGTGTCTGTCCCTGCGCCTCCGTTGTCCATGCAGGCGGCGCGTGGAGCAGACGTCACACACGGGTTTGATTCCTTACCCGTACCCGGCCGCACCAGGGTTGAAAACGGCCGGGTAGCCGGGTGTCGGGTAGGGTACGGGTATCGGGTACCCGGTTGCGACCTCTGGGATGAAGCCATGTTGCAGGCGCGGGTGGGTTGATTCTAGAAACTTGAATTGTGAGAAGAGACAAGACGGGAAATTAGTGACAAACGGTGACTCACCAGTGACTCATGTCCTTCCCGTACCCGACCGCACCAGGGTCGAAAACGGGTACCCGTACCCTACCTGATACCCGGCTACCCGTACCCGGCCGGGTATCGGATAGGGGTATCGGTTACCCGTTTGCAACCTCTGGGATGAAGCCATGTTGCGCGGGTGGGTTGATTCTAGGAACTTGA